GAGAGAGAGAGAGAGAGAGAGAGAGAGAGAGAGAGAGAGAGAGAGAGGCTAAAATTAGTCTCTCATCTCTCACCATTGGGGGCAGTGGTCTCCCCCTTAAGTGACAGGGGTCATCTGATCACTTCTCCACTTCTTTAAGACCCCTTTTTCTAAGGGGCTCCATGCCAAGAAGCTAGCCTATGGCGCAGGCCAAGGAACCAGTATCCTTTCCCAGCATGCTTTGCTTCCTCTTAGCCCAGCAAATTGAATTGCTTTATCAGACCTCATCACTAGGCACATGTGGTAGGTCTTTGATTCTGTGCAGGATGAGTAGGGTGGGCAAGAAAATACTGGGAACCTGTTTGCTCAATAGTTCATTGTATTCTTCAGCTCTTACCCCCAGACTTTCAGGCTCCAAATTAAATGTGAGAGCTGTCCCAGGAAGGTTCTAGGAAGAATGTATGTAAGACATTGGCCCAAAGTACTACCAGCAATATGAAGATCAACTACACTGGTTCTGACAAGGGTTATAGACAGGATTGGGCTAATTTCAAAATCTCAGAGAACTCCAGATGCCTTTTGGTGCCCCACTTCCTAAGAGGAAGAGACCAGAAAGGTACAGATCACAAGCTCAGGCTGGGTTAGAACTCAGGACTTAGAGTCATGGGACTGGGAGAGATTGGGTGATACTTCATAGGCATGTTCCTGTTGAGGGTTTCAGGCCTATGAAGCAGCAGTGTGTGCCCTTCCCCAGCCTTGAGCAGGCTGGAAAGACCTTCCTTGCTACAATAGATCTTGCTACAATAGGACGTAGGTGGAGGTATCTGCCCTGGCTGCACTTACAACTTCCTACAGGAACTTAGAAGAATAGAGCTTGCCTTGTGACATAATCCAGCTGAAACAAAGGATGGGTTTCCTGGGCTTCCCCTGTATATACAAAGTGCTGAATATTAAACTTTGAGCCTTGATCAGAGAACTTTGTCTTGGCTTCATGCTTCTTTTTCCCCTCCATCTCTTTTTCATTTCCAGCCCTCCTTTCAGGTGAACCCAGTTCATCCGTGGCTGCTGGCGGCTACAGCAGTGAACCTTAGAGATGGAGCTACAGCTGGGTTTGGACCAAGAACAGAGAAAACATGGAAGCCCATGTGGTCTCCACATGTAGGAGTGTGTTCATGAGAATCACAGAGCCAGAGCCAGTTGAGGGGGTCTCCTAGAGGTCTTGTTACTCAAGGCTGTTGGGTTGTGCAAGGCATCTGGGGCTGGGGAGCACGCGCGCGCGCTCACACACACACACGCACACACACAGTGCAGGGTCCAGCTGGCATGACTCTTTGGCACTCCACATCTCTCCATCTAGAAAAGTACATATTCCTCCTACCTGGGCTAAGTTCCAACAAAGCAGGCTCATTCCAGTAGAATTAATTAGTCCTTATGGGTTTGATCCCCTCCAGCAGTATCCTGGGGAAAGGGGAGCAGCTGTCTGGAGAGGCAACTCAAACCTAACTTCTTGTTGGATAATCATGAAGTCCAAGAACCTATCTCTTCTTAGGTTAACTCTGGACACATTATCCTGCTAACTAGGACCCTGGGAACCCGAGGGTAGACCCCTACCAAGTCTTTCTGTTTTTTTCAGCTGACACTTTGCCTACACGGAGTAATTTTATTCATAATATGTTGTTGTCATTAAATAACTTGAGTCTTCTACCCATCTTCCAGGTTCCTTCCCATGTGACACCACCGAGAGGTAGACACACCAAGTCTCACTGTGATTGCCTGGACAAGACAAGGATCCTTGCCTGAACCAAGCCTTTATGTAGGTTCACAGGGTTCAGCACAATTCTAGGCCCTCCAAATACCTGCTTCATGCTCCATGCAAGAAACTTATGAAGGAAGGTTAGACGTGAGAGAAGGCTGGGGTCCTTTCTGTCAGGGCCTTTGTAATGTGGTTGAAAGTACACTGGATCAGAAGTCAGGAAACCAGGCTGTGGCCACAGTTCCCCTTCTACTTGTTCGAGAAAGCCTTACTACCTCTTGCCTCTGTTATAAGGCGATTAAGTCAATTGTTATAAGGCAATTAAGTCAGATCATCCCTTGAATTCACTTCATGGTTATTTTTACTGTGAAATAAAGTGTCCCTATATGTAAGTTTAACTGTAATTTTTCTTCATTCACTATATTATGGGCCAAGAAGCTAGGAAGGGTCCAGCTGTGCATTACTTAGAATGCACGCAGTTACATTGGTACTGCAAATGTATCAAGCTCCTTTGAGCTGAATGTTCAGTATGGCACATTCACATGACTGGTAGTTGACTTGGGCTAAGAGCTCAGCTGCAGCTGTCAGCAGTAGCACCTGCAAGTGACACCTTCTAGCACTGTTGTCTCAGGTAAGTGGAAGTGGCTAACTCCCCCCAGAACCATTATCCCGAGAACAACACCCTTGTTGATGTAGCTCTGCAAGTTCATAATATTACTTCCTCGATTTTCTGTTGACTAGAAGAGGAATTTGCTTGCCTAGGTTCAAGAGGAAAGGCAGAGAATATTTCTGATGGGAGAAGGGTTAAAGAATGGGGAGGCCTTTGAAAATATACGAATAAACATTCACAACATTCCAGGAGTTTGTAGAATTCTCTCGCCCATGCCTGTAGCTAGGGATGGATGAGGCTGTATCTGATTGTGACTAAGAAGGAAGCAAGACAGGGACAGGATTGGAGAGTGCTTGCTTCCCTGGAAAGGGGACTTTTTCTTTCCGCCTTCCTTGGCTTTTTCCAGGGTTAGGCTGAGATTGTCTTTTAACAATGGTACCAGGGTGCTGGCTCATTGCATGGGTGAAGCAGGGCCATTGCACTCACCCAGGGTTGGTAGAGAGAAGACAGTAATAATCAGCATATATTCTATCCCCCTATGGAAAACTTCAATGCTACGGTTCGTCAGGCATCTCAGGAGTTCATTTTTTCCTCACAGAGTCTCAAGGAAGGTTTTATTGTCACACAGGTTCAGAGGGCCAAGTGGCCTGCTCAAGGTTGGTGACAGACTCATGATTGAAACAACCTCAAGCAGCCTGCCCCTGGGGCCAAAATGAAGCGGAAGAAGCTGTCTCTTCTGTCCTTTGTCATGCCCTTGTCTTCTTCCCTACTTACTGCCTCCATTCAGGGCCCAAATTTAGCTGCTGACCTCCTCATCAGAACAGATCAGCTCTGTGTCTCAGTTCTGTGTTTTAGAGCTAATATCCTCTCAGGGAAAGCCTCCAAAAAGATGCCAAAGATGGTCACGGACACATCCAGTACCCCAGAATAGGTTTATTGTGTGGGGACCCTCCCATTTCCAATCCACAGTGAGGTCTGTGTGCCCCTGAATAGATGCTATGATCCATCCAGGCCTTAAGAAATGGGTACTTCCAGCTTCCATTTTTCTACTCTTGAATCGGTCTTCCCAGGTACTTTGAGCCATCAGATAAGAATTTGGCCACTCTGACCAACAGGCTCAGCTGAACTCCACTCCTAACCATTTTCACCCAGGAATGAAATATTTAAATAGTGTGAGAAAGACCCCAGACCAGCTCTTCTACCAACTGAACATCACCTGAGTTTCCACCCATCTGCTGCCCCAGTCCATACTGGAATTCCTCATTTATAAAATTGTGAGGTATGAAATGATGGTTGTCTTAAAATTTGGACTGACATGGAACACTGCAAGAGAGAACTGTTTTAGGATGTATTATCGCCTATCCTCTCTCTTTCTTTCTCTCTTGCAGATTAGAAGATGTGTCTCTTAGGAAAGACAAAACCCAGCTGGCACTGAACTTAAGACTTGACTTTGAGGAATCTGGTTTCAGAGTGCCACTGCAGTGAAGCCCTTATGACCTTGTCTCTGTGTCTGTGCACCCCTCCTGGAAGGATGGCTGCTGTTTCAACCAAAATTACCAAAAGAGTGAGTGACTGTGTGGGGAGTGGTTTGTCCAGCGCTGGGACATTCCCTTGTTTGAGAGATAAGTAGGAGATTTGATGTGACAAGAGAGGTGCTTGACCAAACTCCGGGCAGTCGGTGCTGACTTGCATGTTTGGGGAGGTCTATAACCAACATGAAGTCCACTCATGATGTCTTCTAATGTCTGTTCAGTGACTAACTCACAGAGTGACAGTTGAAGAGTTTTGCCAGGCTAAAGCGTGGACAGAAAGGGATTTCTGCCACCTGGTGGCTGGTCCTAGAACAAGGGGTGGCAGGGAGAGGAAATGAAAGGTTCCTTTGGAGGACCCTTCTGAATGAAACTGAGATCACAAGGCGTTGAGTCAGACTGGGATAGGGAGAGATGAGTGTAGGGTTCTTCTGAAGACTGTACTCCTAGCCAAGGCAGGAAGAGGGGGTTCTCTGCCACCAGCCTGTTCCATTCTTAATGATCCTACGTTCAGTGGGTGCCTACTTAACAAAAACTTGAGGTATCACATCTGATACGTCACTTTTATCGCTCACTGAAGATTCCAAAAGACATTATCTGATGTGACAGGGGTAGCTCTCTCAGAACTTAGAACATGGCTTTCTGTGAACTACCTCACGTCCCTAAGGATCAGGTCAGTCCCCTGCCTTCCCTGTGTTCTCCCTCAGACTTCCTTGCAAAAGTGAACATATGTTGTTTTCTCTGAAGCTGGGCAGGATAAGAGTCACCCTGAAAATCCCTGGAAGAGGACACCAAACACCATCCTTATACCAGATGGAGCCCCACTTTCCTTACCTGGAAAAACGTGGATTCCAAGCATTTCCCTCGGAGAAAAATCTCAGCTGTACAAAGTTGCTGAGGCACAGTAAGGACAAGCACAGTGCACACATGTGTCCGGGGACACGCCTAGAAAACTGACTGCATACCTGTCTTCAAATTTCTCAGCCAGAATACTGTTCCACCCCATCCTAAAACACACGTTTGTCCCAAAGCCTCCCTTAGTTCCTCTCCTGTAAGTAAAGAAAGGCAAGAGAGGGTGCTAAGAACAGACACTTTATTGTACACCAGGGTAGGGAAGATGAAGTGGGGGCCCTGGGGTGACAATGCCTCATCCCCTCTCCTGGGCAGAGTGGTCTTGACCCAGACAACTGACCAGTCCAGGACACATGAACTTTAACTGTTCTGAATGTGTGTCAGGACCAGAAGTGACTGCCTGGTGTGTGTTTAAGTCTGTACAAAGCAGGACTTCTCATGAGAAATGACTCCAGGCTCCATATCCCCATAGTTCAGACCTAAGAAGAGGGACCCAGGGGTGCACAGAGAGTCCAGGTGTATTACAATCTGTTTGATCTCACTTCTCTTTTCACAGTGGGCATACTTTAGTTGGGGGAGGGATAGAGGTAAGGAAGGGAAGGGCAGTCCCTGCCTGGTAATACTGCAGGCCTACATGGGGCCTGGCTCACAGCCTCAGGCACACACACACACACACACACACACACACACACACACACACTGCCTCTGGAGCACATTTCCTGGCACTTAAAAAGCAGCAGCCAGCCACTGAAGACTTATTGCTTAATGGCAGAAGCCAACCCTATCTACAATCCCTCTACACCTCGTGTCTCCCCCACCACCCGAACTGGGCCTCAGGCTCCTTGCAGTCTCCATGAAGAGGGCTGAGGGCTCCCTGAAGAAGAAGCTGGTGACTGGAGCTGAAAGCAGGCAGAACAGGAACCCTCAGGTGTACCTCTGCACTGCCCTAGCTCGATTGACTCACAGCCCCAGAAAACCCTCATCTCCTGGTAGGCACCTTACGGGCAGCACCAACCAGTAGGGACTCCGTGCAAAGACTTGGAGACCCGGCCCTCACTTCCAGCTCCTGCACGGAAGCTGGGGCTGGTCTTCAGTGGTCAAGTGAGCCCACCTCATCTCTCCCGAGGAGCCAGCAGAGGTCTGAGAAGCAGCTGCTGCTTTCTGAGTACTCAGGACTTTTTCAAGGACAAATGCAGGACTGAAGGGCAGAGAGATGCCGTCCTCCTAAGAAACCCCGGTACTGTCTGCCTAAGACATCATGACTCCAGTGTGAACAACAGAAGGTTGACTGGAAAATAAATCTGGAGGCTTTCCCTCCACCCAAGGCTCTCCTCATCAAAAGCGAAATGACGATGAGTCACCTGCAGGAAACACATGCCTTCCCCACAGCTAGTGCTTCTTAGAAGCGCCTGTCCTGAGGCCTCACCCATAGAGCTGAGAGGAAGACCTGGGGTCTTCAGAAGGTGATGAACACTGGGTGGGGGGGTGTCACAGATCGGCACCTTATGCACTCACACCTACGAATGTAACACACACACACAACCACAGAGCTCTGGGTCCTATGTCCAACTCACAGCAAAGGTGTAGCGTTCTGGCCTACAGCAAAAGGCTACAACACACACTACAGAGCCCACAAGGCCTAAGCAAACAGCCCCAGCTCAGCTTCCCCTCCCCCTCCCCACTCACTGTAGCCTCACAGGCTGGGGCCTGGCCCAGCCACGCTACAAAATTAAAAATATATCAAATATACAATGAAAATAGATCTGTACGGCACTGAGGATGAAAATAGTCCACCAGCCACAGTATAATATTGGGTTTGTCATTTCACAGCATTTACACCCACATGTACAGATTGAATGTACAATAGAAATAGCATCTGGAGAGGAGGAGAGATAGTGGAGTCTCTGCTAGGGCCTGGCTTTCCTGTTTTCTAATTCTGCTCAGGACTAGGCATGGGGCCAGCTAGGAGGTGTTGTCAGGTGAGGTGTCCGAGAATGGGATGCTGTCTCCCAAAAGCTCGTCTCTCTTTCACCTTAAATACTAGGACAGGTGGAACCAAGAAAGCTAGAAGTGAGAGAAGGTGTGTGGAACTGAGGGAAAGGAGAGATGGCAGGCTGAGGGGATGGCTGGGGAGGAAGGTATCCAGGAGGCTTAGGAGTAAGAGGTGGATACCTGGGCCTAGACTGTCCCTCAGTACTGAGGGACATTTGGGCCACAACAATGACCCAGGAGCCTCTGGAAGGTACCCAGGTCTTTTCCTGCCTACCAAAACTTTCAAAGATAGAAACAGCATGTGTGTCTGGATGGATGGATGGATGGATGGATGGATGGATGGATGGATGGATGGATATAAAACCACCACCCCTGGCTCCAGGTTGGAAGGAGGAGACTGAGGAATGACTAAACCGTAGTTAGGGTGACCCTATCCATCCACCCATCCATCTGTCCATCCCAGCCAGCCAACCATATATGTCCATACACCCATCCCTCTAAGGTGATACTGCAGAGAGATACTCTGAATCTCAGGTCAACTTCCCAATCCTCACAGGCTGCTCTGAAGCAGCCCTTCTTCCAGGGGAGCCTCGAAAGGTGGTCAGGGACACTGTCATATACTGTTTATCTCCCTTGGAGCCTAAGACCAGAGACTCTGCTCTGCCTGGAATTGCCTGTGCCACGTCTCTGAACAGGCTAGGGAAGTTTGGGAAGGGTTTCCAAGGTGTCTTCACATGATGTGCACACAAGTGGCTGTGCTTGTGCAACAAGAAGAGTGAGTGGCAGCCCCGGGGGGCAGTGAGTTTACCTGTCTTTCCTTAGAAACAAGGGCTCCTGGTGGCACACATCTGAACTCCAGGAACCCTCATTCCAGGGGAGAAGCTGCCACTAAAGAGAAAAATAGGAGCTGCAGAGTGTGGAAGAGTATGTTTGTTTCTCTTGTGCTCCAAACCATCTAGATTGTGCTGGGACCCTGCAAATTGTGCTGTGGAAACTTCATCTTGCACTGCACCCTTTTCTCTCTGGGACAGAGGCAAAGACCACCACTCCTGGCTCCAGGTTGGAAGGAGAAGACTGAGAAATGGCTAAGCCCCAGTTAAAGTGACCCCATCACTGTGCTCTCAGGGAGGATCAAGAATATACACCCTTTGTCCCTGTCGGGGTAAACAGGGCCATTTAAAGACTCCATGAGCTGGCTGTGGATGTGTTCCTTTCAATGGCAGCATTCATGCTTAAGCCTGAGAGGGCTCCGCCTTTATCAAAAGACAGAATTGAGGAGTTTCTGGTACACCTCCTGCCAAAGCAAAGCCTGAGTCCTGACACACGCGTCCCTCTCCCTGTCTTAGCTCAGGAGCAGCCTGGATGGGTTGGACAGGATGATGAGTCCTGGTCTTACGGCAGGCTGGGCTAAAGTCTACTTCCTGCACCTTCAGCCCTGAAGCCTCTGTCCACTACCACCATAACCAGCAGCATAAATGGATCCTCCCTGAGACCCAAGAACTGCAAGTGATAGATTTTACAAGGAGGGGGGGTGACTCCTAAAGCGTCCACTTGAAGTCCCCCCATACTGAGATTTTTGTGGTTACATGGCTGCAACTTGGCAAGAGTTCTTTAAAAAGTTACATGGGTTGGGGGCCTGGAATAGGGATTGAATTGTCCCCAGTCCCCTGCTCATAGGTAGGGAGACTTCTGGGACTTGGGTGAGGAGCAAGGCAGGACAGATCCTCTCTCCTTGGACTGGCCTGGGTCTGGTGGCCACCATGGAGGAAGAGGCCAGGCCCAGACAAGTGGGCAGGTTGGGTATTGAGGGAAGGCAGGCAGGGTGGAGCTGTAGTCACAGCTCTGACTCAGGGGTGCTGGCCAAGAGGTAGCCGCTTCCATAGCGTCCGTTAGGATTGCCGCTGCTCTCCAAGGGTGATGTGCTGCCAGGTCCCAGATAGGAGCGGTGGGTGGGCATGGGGGAGGGCGCCTCACTGGGCACCTTGCTGAGGATGAAGCGTGTCTCATCGTTCTCCTCCAGATTGGAGATGTCTTTCATCATGCGGCCCTTCTTGTAGGACACCGAGAGGGTGTTGGAACCGTCGGAGAGCAGGTGGAAGTGGCGCAGGATGAACACCACAGGGATGGGTAGAGTTGCCACAGCGATGAGGGTGATCAGCAGTGCCATGGCCCAGTTGGGGAAGTACAAGTAGCGCTCAGCGGCCTAAAGGGTGACAGCAGAGGGAGAGGATGCAGCGCACCAGACAGCATGGGTCCCAAGCCTACAGGCTGACACTTGCCCCTGGCCTCCCCTCCTCCCCTCCTCCCCTCTTCCCCTCCTCCCCTCCTCCCCTCCTCCCCTCTTCCCCTTCTCCCCTTCCTCCATTGTGTTCAAGTAGCAGTAACAATGGTGTCCCCAGGAAGTGCTACTTGAGTGTGGTAGGGCAGCTTGGTCCCAGGGATAGCCGTTTGAATATCAGCTTGATTAAAGGGGCCTCAGTTTGTACATCTGTAGAAAGCATGGGTAGTTCCACTCCACAGACACAAAAACAGACTGTGCCTTAGAAGAACTAGAAAGATGCTGATTTTGCTGAGCCTCAGGTTCTCCATTTATACTATAGCAATGATGTCACTTCTTAGGAATACAGGGCACCCAAGACCTGTTACAGAGGAGCTGCTCTAGAAAGCTTTGCGCCGGTTGTCTATTACGTTAAAGGCCTGAGAAGATGCAAGTGACTCTGGGGTTTGTGGTGGCCACCACTCACCTCCTCCTTAATCCAGGCACTATAGCCTGGGGGTGACACTCCCAGCTGGATGATGCTGGCTGTGGTGAGAACAGCCATGCACAGTGGAGACACAAACTTCCACATGTAGAAATAGAATCGGTACGGCCGGAAGCCCAGCATCTCTGTCAGCTCCTGCATAAACCTGCCAGGCACAGCAGAAGACAGAGCAGTTGACACCTTCACCACTTCCTCCCTTTCTCCTGCAGTCACTTGCTTCTGACCAGTCCCCTCTGGGCTCTGCTAGCCTTTGCCTTCTGTGTTCAGTGTAAAGCTTCCATGATCTCCAGGAGGCTCGGCCCTGCCTACTTCACACCGTGTTCCACCCAGAGATATGATCCATTAGACAGGCCCTGGACCATGTGGATAGGTGCTGGAAAGCTCTGGATTCTCAAAGCACAGCCTCCTCTCACTGGCCTGGCTCAATCCTCCCTCTGCTGGAGGAGAGGCAGTAATGCACCTACCTAGCATGGGAAGGAAGAAACTTCCAAAACTCAGGGATCTCTAAACTGGACTCTGTGCTAGAATTCCAGGAGGCGGGGTATGAGTGTGTGTGTGTGTGTGTGTGTGTGTGTGTGTGTGTGTGTGTGTGTGTATGGGTTTCAGTGGTATACAAAACTCATCTTTACCTAAGTTACACTAACTGAGCCTGGTCATTCCTTCTATTATAATTGCAAACAACCTCAGGGGTGCCAACAATACTTGTGACTGTTCCAAATAGATTGCACCAGACATTTCTTATCATATCCCAGTTATTTGAAGATACCTAGAAACATTTATATCCATAGCTGCTTTTAAGTTACAGTTGTTACTAGACCTACAACTAAATCTCCTTGGGTGCTCCTTTTCTTATGCATTCAGTACCCCCTGTGCCTTCCCAGGACACAAATGACCCCTGTGAGAGATACTGGATTCCAAACCCATATGGACATCAAGGAGGGTCAAGCTGAGGTAGTTGGTGGAAGGCCTGGGTCCCTCTGAGGACAAGGACAATGGACACAGTAAATTGTGGAGTAGGAAGGTGCCAGTCTTGGAAGTCTCTGGGAATGCATCTTTGACCATAAATAAGAGCTGACTGTAAGTGAAGATACATGAAACCAAATCTTACCTTATTGCTAAGTCTTCTTTCCCTGAAAAACCTAAACTTGATGCCAAAACCATACATTAAAATTATGAATCAGGCTGCTGAAGTCCACCAACTCTTTGAGAGCAGGGACCCCTCAAATCCCAACCACATGCTAAACAAGTTTAGTGGATATCTACAGACTGGTATTCAATAAAGGGGCTGTGGTAGTTAATCATTTAGGCTGGCATCAGAACCTGAACCCAGGATTCAAGGTCTTTAGCACAGCTCAGTCTCTTACTAGCCAAGTAGCCTCTGGTATTCATGCCCTCTTTATAGGCCTCAGTGTCCCAGTGCCAAGGACCCTTTAGCCCCGATAGATTATATAATCTCTTGTCCCTTTCACAGCCATTCACGAGAACACAAGACACCCCAGAAAGCCCTTATGGGAAAGAAGCCACCACATGTCCCCGCCACACCTCTATGACCTCCTTACTTCTTGGTTCCATAAATCCAGGCCACAGCGATGTTCTCAAGGATGACGATGACGGTGAGTGGCAGGGTGGCCGAATAGTCATCAAACATGGTGACAAAGTAGTTTCCGGAACGCTGGACGAACAACAGCCCCACGAAGAATGCAAAGACACAGCAGCCCACTACAGAGAGCCGGGAGGCCGGTGTGGGGGCAAAGGTGCAGGGTGGGTGGGACTCTGGGGACTTAGGGGGACCCAGCTCCCCCCTTCTATCACACTGTTCCAAGCAGGCCTGCAGCCTATCCCTCTCCATGACCCACAGGCACAGCCCTGCAGGAGAGGGCTGGAAGCTGAGGTTCTAAGCTCTCCTGAATCAGGCAGGAGACTCGAGGAAGGTAAAACTCTGCATTCTTCTGTTATGTTCCCTGTGCCTGGCACAGCACCAGGCTCAAGACAACTGTTCAACTTAATTACTGAATTGAATTGAGATGATTCAACGGATTGTTGCTAGGCTTTTCCCCCCAGGACACCATAGTTTTCTCATTTGAGAGGAGGAAGATACTCTACCCCATCCCTATGACCCAGGGATACAGGTAAGAGGTAAATGCATATCCTGACAGTATTGGTAGCTGAGAGGCACATCCAGGTCTGTAGTGAGGGAGAAGGGCCTTCTGCAGATAGGGTGCTGGGTGATCCAATCAAGTCAGAACCTAATTATCATGCACATGCTGGGCTGGTGTCTGTCGGGGCAACAGGGGGTTACCTGTGAACATCTCCTTGGGCACCTTGAAGGTGTCGATGATAGGTGTGGTGATTCCTGCCATGGTCCCAATCATACTGCCCAGGCCCAGGTTGATGAGCATCAGGAAGAACATGACGGACCAGAATGGGGAGGCCGGGAAATGTGTCATGGCCTCAGTGAAGGCGATGAAGGCCAGGCCTGTGCCCTGCACAGACTGAGGGTGGGGCAGAGAGTAGGGGCCACTCTTACTTCACAAGTCCCCTGCCTCCCTCCCACTGTCCTTAGCCTATAGTTATCATATCCCCTCTTTCATAGGGATCCCCATTGCCACTTGAACTCTTTCAGCTCGAGAGAGTGGGTCTTAAACTTCAGTATTAGAATCTCTGAAGAGAACTAGCTGTAGTGACTCATGCCTCTAATTCCAGCACTCAGGTAGCTGAAGCAGGGGGATTTGCTATGGGTTCAAGGCTAGCCTGGGCTTCACATTCAGTTTCCTGTTAACCTGGACTACAGATTAATATTGTCTCAAAACAACCAAACTAAACCAAAATGTAAAAAATGTTCGTGAGCATTTCCCTGGGGGACCTATAATCTACAGGTTGTTCAAGGAATCCAGTGATCCCAGTAAAGGAGCTCACAGAAACACACCCAGTTTAAGACTCTGCTCTTCTAAGACATCATCTTTGTTGCAACCACAATGACCACACCCATTTCTGAATCACCAAACTCCAGACCTTAAAGCAGCAGGCTCAGCTGTGCAATAGAAGTAATTGTAAGTCTTTAAGTACCCAGCCCATGCCATTCTCCCACAGAGGCAATGATTTAGGGTTAAGCTGGTGTGAGATGCTATAAAGCTATCAGGGGTCCTCATGGAATGTCCAAGTAGGGAACCATTGCTTTAATACAGAGGCCCTTTGTACAGGCACCTGCCTGCTCACATCATTTATAACTGTCCCATGATCTTGAGGGAACACATAGACCTGAGGTTTTAGTTGTCATTCAGATACTTGGGAGGTTGCCTTGTGTGAAAAACCTGCTGTAATCCAAGTTTTGTCAGAGGATCAGGCCATGCCTGTGAGACCTGCTGTAGTTTCATGGAACATGGAAAGAGAGGATCCTCCAACTAGGCTCCTTTGCTCTCGATCAAGGGAGAGAGTTAGAGATGTGGGATGCAGCTCCCATAGACCAGTGAAGCTGTCTTTGTGACTTTCTTCTGTTAATCCTTTTTTAAAAGTGTTCAGGGTCAAACTCAGGGCTACATGGATGCTACACAAGCACTCTACCAACCAAACTCTATCTCCAAGCTATAGAGCTGCCATTGACATGGTGCTCTAACATCTCTATGAGAAGCTCCTGGTATCATGAAGAAGCTGTAGGGTTTACTATCCCCAACATGAACCTTGGCTCCAGCCAGGGTCCTGGGATCTGTGGGTCTGCTTCCTATTACCACTTCTAGCAGAACAGTCATTTTGAAAGTCAACAATGGTGTAAATCCAAACATAAGAAAGTTATCTTCACTTTAACTTGAGCATTAATGAGGAGACAGGATTTCTGCTCTAGACCAAGAGCTAAGTATCATTGTAGCAATGGAAGAGGGGGGCAGCAGGGGAGGGCAGAACTCTCAAGGGATGCTGCAGAACAGGGACTCTGGAGCAAGAGTACTGCAGATATACATACATGCACACACACATGCACACACACATGCACACACACACACACACACATATACACTCACTAGCTGTGAGACGCTCGCTGATCAAGCCCCTCCTCCAACCTATAGGTTGCTTATTGATAAAACTGAGAACAATATTCATGCTCAACTCATAGCATTGCCTCAGAGATCAAAGGAAATGGAAACTAAAGGGGACTGGCATGTACCTGTTTCACAGATGCTGTTCTAAGTGGTCTGTATACACAGAGCCCAGGCACAGGAAGCTTCCTCAATAAATGGTGAGGCTGGGCTGGAGAGATGGCTCTGCAGTTAAGAGGACTAGCTGCTCTTCTAGAGGACCCAGGTTCAATTCCCAGCACCCACATGGCTGTTCACAACTGTATATCCAGTTCCATAATATCATAAGCACCCTCGCACAGACATGCATGCAGGCAAAAAACCAAACATACATAAAAATTAAAAAAATCTTGATAGATAGATAGATGGGAAAGCTCCCTCAAACTGACAAAGGCTCCTGTGATTTCAATGCTTCCTGCTTCCTTTGGTCCCTCATCTAATAAGCTTACCTCTGGCAGATGCTTTAGCTGACACTTGTCTTTCTCTGTACACACATAGTGAGTATACACACTGAGTCTTTGCTTATTAGTAAATGATTACTCTCTATGGTCTTTCAAGGCCTGTTCCCAAGCTCCAGCCACTAAGCCTATCTCTGGGTTCTTGTCTGTCCTGGAAAGAGCAGCCTGTTCCAGTACCTTGTCCAGCTCATCCTCCAGGAGACAGGGATCCAGGCCCAGGGCTGAGAACTGCTTCTCCTTAACAGTCATGATGACGTTGTACATTTCTGAGTAGTCCTTGGTGGTCAGGTGAGAGAAGTTGACGTGGGGTGGGATGAGGTCCCGGCTCAAGACATTAGAGTTGAGATACCCTAGAATTTTCTCAGCATTCCTGCAGAGCAAAGAGGGCAGGACCAGGTAAGAAGGTAGGAGTAGGACCCTAGAGACCCCTCTCAGAAACCCAGGCAGGGCACCCACAGGCCACTGACAGAAACATCCATGAGCCTGTCCTTGTGGGCCAGGGCTAAGGAAGATGATGATCTTATCCCTTATGGAACAGAGGGGACCTTTCACCTTGCCCGGCCCACCTGCTACCCCTGGGTGAGGCAGACAGTGAAAGGAGGGACCGAAGGGGCCATGCCACCTACTCGACCACACACTTCTCATTCATGATGTTGGCTTTGAAGCCCAGCACAGCAAACACCACGAGGGTAGCCAACACCGAGGTGAAGAAGTTGATGAAGGACACCAGGGCAGCATCGAAGTGGCAGTTATTGTCCTGTTTGTTGTAGCTGGAAAAGGCGATGACGCCTCCAAAGCCCAGCCCCAGGGCGAAGAAGACCTGTGTGGCTGCCTCCCGCCACACCTGGGGGTCCAGCATCTTGTCCAGCTACACACATGATCATGGGAGCAAAGAAAGAGACAAAGAGATGATGGTTTTAATCATGTGCCCACCATCCCACCCTTTCCTCAGACTCAACCGAGACCATACAACATGGCTTGGTATAAAGTAGCTATGGCTGGGAAATTCACCAACTCCTCTGAGCCACAGCTTCCTCAGCTGCAAAAGACAGATAACAGTGTCAACCTCAAAGGGCTATTTGAATACTGAGTGCTTACACAGGAGGCTGAGCTGCAAGAGTATTGGGGTGATATGGAGCTATTCCCAAAGCCTTTATCAAATCAATCTTTCTTTCACTCTTCATTCCTCAAAGTATGGGCCAAGGAGAATGAATAGCACGGTTTCAGCATCCTTGGAGCTTATGGGCTAGTTGGAGAGATGGACATTGGAAAACCGATCCCATCAACAGATGCTAAATAGCACTATGGCAAAGGTTGGGAGAGTCAGGCACTCAGTGGGTCAGGAGGCAAGGATGCTTCTCAGAAGAGGGAATTCTCATGATGGCCCTTTGACCAGTGACAGCAGAGGTGAGGAAAGCATGAGGGAGGAGGGATCAGTGTGAGCATAGGGTGGCTATAAAGGGACATAGAAGGTGTCTGAAGGTGGTTACACAATGAAGGAGTGTGGCTGAACTGATGAAGCGGTATAACTGTGTTGGTGCAGGTAGGGGTGCAGGTGGGGTGGTACAGGCTCAGTGATATAGGTAGAGGCACAGTGATATAGGCAGGAAAGGTGGTACAGGTGGGATGATGTAGGCAGGAGAGGTGATGCAGACAGAGGTGCAGGTGAGGTGGTTCTTATGAGATAGTACAGATGAGCAGGTGTTTTGGGGGAGGTGAGGCAGTGCAGGTGGGATAATGCAGGTGGGATAGGGCAGGTGAGGCAGTGCAGGTGGGATAGAGCAGGTGGGATAGGGCAGGTGGGATAGGGCAGGTGGGATAGGGCAGG